AAATGAAGAATACTTTTCCTTCAAATAGAATATTAAAGGAGAACTATGAGGTGAGTGATTTTCCTCTCCTCCTCGTAGTTCGAGCCGACGTGTGACAATGAAACTGTCACAGGTCGGCTCAATAGATCGGGAAGTGAGCGAACACATACCATCGCTCGCTCACTTCTCGATCATGTCCCTGCAGAGAGTGGTGACTTTCGCTCACGGCTCCCTGTAGGGATTCCCCCCTCCCCTGCCCGATCCGCCAGTGCTGACTGGCGGAACGGACGGGGGAGGGGGCCGGTACAGCTGGCTCTTCTCTAGATAGGCAGAGCCAGCTGTCAATCACGCAGCTGGGTGGATCTCGACAGTAATGTCCGCATCCGTCCCGTCTGCGGCGGTCTCAGTATATAGGGAGCTGTAGCTCGCGGTATACTGAGCTTTGGGTGACGGGAGGACGCTAGTTTGTGTCCTCCCGTGACCCTGGGGAGAACTATGGGGAAAAACACTGACCCCATAGTTCTACTTTAATAACATTTATGTAATTACATTTGTATCCAATTTTGGATCGAAGCGCTACAAATTGATATTGCATCTAATGGATCAGGACAATCCTTCTATTCGTCAGTTACGCTATGTATATAAATTTGCTCTATCGGAGCTTGCCATGATACTTTTGGGGCCCCTTTCACATAGCGGGTCCGCCTGTCAGTTTTTAAGGTGGACACGATGGGGTGCCCAGTGTCAGTATATGGGCAGCCGGGTCTAAAAAGACAGGCGCCAGTTTACACCCTGTTACCCCCCCTGACTCCGGCCAGGTCCGGAAAAACTTAACTGAAGAGTGTAGCGTTTCTGATTGCGGTGGGTTGGGGGTAATCTGATGCGAATGGACACAAATGTCTGTTTACATTCGATTCCCCATAGACCGACATGGGGTCCGGTCATTTCAGGTTTTTTTTCCTCCATCACAGAACTGGATGGACATGGCTGTCGCGGCGGTGATATCCCGATCCGTACCGCTTTGATCAGGGGGGGATCCGTGTGAAAGAGGCCGTACTCTCTGATATAACCATTGGCAGTGATTCAGGTTCTTTGGAAATTTTGAAGAAACAAATCTCGCAGTACCGTGTTTCCCCGAAAATAAGACACTGTTTTATATTATTTTTGGCTCAAAAAAACACACAAACCGGCCGGCGCGTCATTAGACGCTGCCTGGCTTCCTGATTGGCATGGAGTCGGTTTCCCGGCCTATCAGGAAGCTGGGCAGTGTGTAATGATGCGCTGGCTAGCTTCCTGATACCGGACGTATCGGGCCAGGCATCGGAGCATTTGGGCAAGTACAAGTACTTGCCCAAATACTCAGCACCGATACCGATAGTAGTATCTGGGCATCCCCAGATATAACCACTCGTTCCTTTATCCTGCAACAGTGACCACTCACCCCTTTACTCCAGCTGTGGTATGTCCCTCAGCGTCTTCACATCTAATAGACCTGTATTAGATGTGATGGAATCATGGGTACTTAGACCGCCGGAGCCCGGGGGGGTAGAAGAGGCTGAAGGGACCGGTCTATCAGGATCTGGCAGGATCAAGGATCTACTTTATTTGAGCCCCTAGAGAAAAGTTAA